CTCCTCTTCTTCTTCTTCTTCTTCTTCTTCTTCTTCTTCTTCTTCTTCTCCTCCTCCTCCTCCTCCTTCTCCTCCTCCTTCTTCTTCCATCTCCTCTTCCTCCTCCTTCCTTTCATCTCCTTTTCTCCTCCTCCTCCTCCTCCTCCTCCTCCTCCTCCTCCCTCCTCCTCCTCCTCTTCTTCTTCTTCTTCTTCTTCTTCTTCTTCTCCTCCTCCTCCTTCTCCTTCTCCTTCTCCTTCTTCCTCTTCTTCTTCTTCTTCATTGATAGCAGAAATTCCCTGTCATAGGAGGTGGATCTATCCAGCATGGGAACCACTTCATGCTTCCGAAGAAGAGCTTTCTTGCTCTCTGACTGACTGCTGCCCAATCTGTGTTTGATCGATGTGGTTGTCACTTTTCTTTGTGAAAGTGGCCAGATGTTGCCTGCCCCTTGGTCAGCTCCACCCAAAGCAAGTGGAGGCAACATTGATTGCTTTGTATCCTCCCTCCCTCCCTCATTTCCTCCCTCCCTCCCTGAAAGGCTAACAGGTTCATATTAAAGCTTGAATATTAAAATTCAGAAAAATGAAGATTGGGTTTTTATTTTGTAATATCTAGTTTTCTGCTGGACGCCTCTTTCTCTGGTCTCCGTTCACCCCTGACCTTGTCACAGCTATTTTCTGTTATTAAGAAGAAAGTCTAAGGAAAGGAATAACTTCCACGGGGTGACAATGGCCTCCTGCATTCTTTAGATGGGCCTTTTAGAAAGGAAAGGAAATCCCAGCCATGCCAGCGTTGTTGGAAGCTTTCTGATTTAGATCAGACTTTTCCTACCTCTGTAAAATTAGCAGGGTGCAGATCGGTTTCTCCAAAGAAATGTAATCATCGGCGGTTGATTTGCAGCTATTCAAAGCTATTTGCACGGAGCCCTTTCCTTTCCTTGACTCGATAGAAAAAGGAAACCTCACCTGAGATTCTGACCCTTATTTTGATTTCTGGTTTAATAGGCGCGAGTCGGAGGCTAGAATTGTTTTTAATCACTTCCCGCCCTGGCAAAGATTCAGTAAAAGATTATGTGGTAACGACCAGCCCTGATACCGTCTTGGATATGTCACATCCACGGGGGAAAAAAAAAAAGCTTGCAAAAGAAATGTCACCCCTTCCTTTCTCCCCCAAATTACACTGAAAGATTCTTTTTCATAAGAGGACCGCACCTTTTCTGTTATTATTTTAGATGGGTAGGTAGGTAGATAAATGGATGTATGGGTGGATAGACAGGTAGGAAGGAAGGAAGGTAGGTAAAGGGATAGATAGATACTGAGAGATATTGAGATAGATATCAAGATTGATGGATGGACAGGTAGGAAGATTAGGTAGCAGTAGTGGGCTTCAAATTTTTTTACTACTGGTCCTGTGGGTGTGGCTTGGTGGGCGTGGCAGGGGAAGGATATACTGCAAAATTTCCATTCCCTCCCCACCCCACTAGCCTGCTTTCCAGCTCCGTTCTCCTGTGCAGGGCAACCAAAGAAGACCCAGCCAATCAGCTGGGACTCAATGGGAGGCAGAGAATAGACGGGGTTGGCGGGGCCAGTCAGAGGTGGGATTGGCCGTTTCTCCAGAACTACTCTAAATTTCCGCTGCGGGTTCTCCAGAACTGGTCAGAACCGGCTGAATACCACCTTAGGTAGGTAGGTAGATAGATAGGTAGGTGGGTAATTGAGATAGATATAAAGATGGATGGATGGACAGACAGGAAGATTAGATAGGTGGATGGATGGATGGATAATTAGAGAGAGATTGATATAGATATTGATAG